GTTTATTGAGTAATTTTGAATTTATGTTCATCGGGGATACTAGCATGTAGTTTTCTTTTATGTGTGTTGCTACCAGGTTTTGGTATTACAGTAATAACAGCTTCATAGAAGGAGCTGTTTATCTCCTTCTGCTTTTGAATAATTCAGTGAAGATTTATTGTAGATCTTCTTTGAAAGCCTTGTACATTCTGCTGTGAGTCAACCTGTCCTGGCCTTTCTTTAGTTAGAAGAAATATTATTACTATTTCAATATCCCCATTTAGTGAGCTGTTTGGGTTGTTGATCTCTTGATTTAATTTTGATGGTTTGGCTGGATCTAGAAATCCACCCATTTCTTTAGGGTTTCAAACTTAATTGGAGTATGGATTTATAAACCATTCCCTTATAATGTTCTGACTTACTCTTGTGTTTGTTGTAGTTTCCGTTGATTTCTGACTCTTGTTAATTTGGGTCTTCTTGTTTTTGCTTAGTTAAATTATGTTTAATCTCCTCATAGAAAAAGCACTTAAATCCATTGACTTTTGTATTTTATTAATTTCTGTTCTGAATTTATTATTTCCTGGTGTTAACTGGGCTTCAGTTTGGATTGGTTTATAAATTTTTGAATTACATCATTACATTTATTTGTCCTCTTTCTGATTTTTAATGTAGACACTTAGAGGCATAAATGCTTTCAATATGTCTCAGAGGTTCTGTTGTGTTGTTTTCCTTTTCATTCTGTCCCAAGAGACTCTTTTTCTTTCTTGATTTCCTCTTTGACATTCATCATACAATAATGAATTATTTACTTTCAATGAGTTTGTGAACTTATTAGAGATTTTTTTGCTGTCAACTTGAAGTTTTATTATATTGTATTCAGATAGCATACAGGCAGCTATTTCAATCTGAATTTGTAAAGATTTGTTTTGTGTACCAGGATGTGGTCTGTTTGGCAGAACCTTTCAGATGCTGCTGAGTTGAATGTGTATTATGTGGTTTAGTGGGATAGTCTGTAGATATCTGTTGATGCCATTTAATTCTGGCATTTTTTTTTGGTACAGGATGACATGTCTTTTGGAGAGTGGAGTGTTGATGTCATCTGCCTTTAAATCTAGGAGCACACATTCTATGAAACTGGGCACACTAGAATCTGATGCATATATGTTTAAGGTAGTAATGTCTTCTTGGTTAACTGTTCCCTTAACTAGAATGAAGTGTCCCTCTTTATCTCTTCCAATTAGCTTTAGTTTGAAGTCTATTTTGCTTGATATTGAGGTCAATGTCTGTTTTTTCTCCTGGTCCTATTTGAATGGAGTATTTTTATCCTCTGGGACAGTGCCTATCTTTAAAGCTAAGATATGCTTCTTATAGACAACATATAGAAGGATTCTGTTCTTTGATCTAGTCAGTCAGCTTGTGTATCTTTTGACATTGCCTGAGGCCATGTTGATGTCTATGGCCTGTGCTGCTCCACCTGAAGCCATGTTGATGTCCTTGGCTTGTTTTCCTGCAGGAGACCATGTTGATGTTGAGGGTCAATGCTGGGCCCCAGGGCCATGTTGATAGTCAAGGTCTGTTGGCTGCTGAGGTCCATGGCACATGCTAACATTGGAGGTCATGTGTAAGTCCATGGTCCATGCTGCCACTGTCTGCAAAGTGCAAGGAAGCTTCTTTTGCTGCGGTGTTGATGACTGCAGACTCACAATGAGAAGGTGATGATTTCTTCACCCGCCCCCCTCCACCCAAAAGAGAAACATCTCAGACAGGAAGCCAATGAAGAGAATTCTTAAAAATTGTGATAGAGATGCTGAAGGGTAGCTCTCCACAGCTGATGGCTTCAGGTGGGGAACTAAATGTTCTTGATACAATGGTTTCTTATCCAGCCATACACAGTAAATGTAAAAAAAAATCATCTTAATTCTATCTATGTAACTGCTATATATTGTGATAGCTAGTGGCTTGTTTTGCTTTGTTTTATTTTTTTTCAAATTAAGAGTTTAACAGTGACAACAGTGTTCAGTGAGGGCTAAACCAATCATAGTTTTACTTATGGCAAAATCTATTTAGGATTATTTGATGATGAAATTAATCACTATTTTCATACTGTTTGCTATTCTTTCCCTCAAATTCATTAGGAAAATATGCTTTAGAGAAAGCTATCAAAAACAGAGACTATTGGATACATTGCACAGAAACAGCAATAGAGGGAGAGCACCCCCCCTCAAAGGTATCAGAGGGCAAGCATATCCAAGGAGCTTCTCTCTTCAAAATGGAAGTTTACATAGATCAGTGTGTGCCTTTTCTATGCCTGACAATTGTTCCTCCACCCCGATAGCCCCTACTATTTGGGAGTAGTAACTCCTAGTATCGACAGGACATAGAGATAGGTAACTGCTTCTCCTCATACTTTATAAGTTTTAAAAAGCCATCTCTGTGGCCCAATCACTGTGTCTCTAAAACAAAATGAACCTTTGAGTGGTGTCTGTAGGGGAAAAGGACCAGTCAAAGAAACACACCCTGAGCAGAGTCAAAGAAACACACTTTGGCCCTGCAACCAGAACCATAGAAATGTACCCTGACCCTAAAACCAGTGCCAAAGAAACACACTTTGTCCCTGGAATTAGAGCCAGTGAAAGAAATACACCCTGGCCCTAAAATTAGAGCTAAAAGGCTAAAAAGAACCAGTAAAAGAAACACACGTTGGCCCTGAAACCAGAGCCAAATCTGACCCTAAACATGTACAGAAAACTAGCCAATCCCTGAGCAGGAAATCTAGCCATTCTGAGCTCAGGAATTGAAATCTGGCCAATTCACACCCTGAAAAAACTCTTCCCCTGAGAAGCCCTATATAAATCCTACACCTGTTCAGGTTGTGGCTGTTTGGGCTGCCCGACTACCCTCTGCCACCCTAGCAGAGGGCAGCCACTCTCCTGGATTCTACCCTCCCACTACATCTCTCGAATGAGGTTTGGGTGAGACCTTCTTTGGCTGGAGCAGAGAGGACCCTGGGCAGAGCAGAGCACAGCAGGGCTTGTAACACTTTTCACTTCCCAGGCAAAGCCAAGTTGTTACAAGGAGCCAAACTGTAACAACTTTACTGGGGGAAGCCTTCTATGAAGCAAAGCTGTAAACTGCTACACTTACCGTGTGACCCAAGCTCCAGGATACCTTTCCATCTGAGTTGTGTAATACTCAGTATTCTGTGGTTCCCAAGTGCCAGAATACCTGACCAATCCGAACCGCCACAAAATGCTTAGTGTCTTTACTGTTCTCCCCAGCCATAAAGTCATACTTGCCCAAATATTCAATTTTGAAGGAGGGAAAGTAATCCATGTTAAGTAGTGAAACATGCTGCTATTTCAATGGTCATAAGAGAATATTCAGTATCCTGGCTGCAATAAGCTACCAGTTTAACTGTAGATTAAGTTTGCACAGATGCTGAGCATTTCCACAAGGAACTTCTTGCTGCTCCCAGGCCCCTTGAGATGCAATACACCAGACCCTTCTTGCTTACAGTCTTATTTCTTTATTTATGTCAATGGAAAGGATTTCATCATCCTACAGAACCATGGACACTTCCTTTCCAAAGCTTAATGTATTACAATAAGTTCAGTTTTCCTATAATCATAAAGTAAAAACTTTGTCACCTTCTGGCATGATTCACAAAACAGGAGAAGGCAGAGCTCACAATTGTTCTGAGCCCCCAGATATTTACATTCCTGGACCTGATACAATTTAATTAATTTAATTCACATTTACTAGCTGATACCTGCAAGAAGAGAATGGCCTTGGAAGATACCCCATGTCTTTATCCCTGGGGCGTGGAACCGTGATACATGGCCAAAGGGTGTTAAGGCTGCAGGTGGAATAAGGTTGCTAATTGGGGACCTTGAACCACATGAGATCTTGGGCTGGGCAGAAGAAGGAAGGAAGTCAGACAGGGACCCAAGGACCAGATCCACACTGTTGCCTGAGAGGATGGCAGTAATGGGACAAAACAAACAGATAAAATAAAAACAAAACCAATCCCCCCAAAACAAACAAAAAACCCATCAGTAGATTCCAGAAGCATGGAGCTGTTGGATATAGATCATCCCCCACACAGGCTCCAGGAAGGATCACAGATTCCCAATACCAGCTTTAATTTCAACACAGCAAGTCCCAAGGCCTCACTAGAATTAAGAAGGAAACAGTCTGTGGTTTAAGACACGATGTGTGTGGCACGTTGTTAGGGCAGCCACAGGACTCTAATTCAAGGTCGCATAGCTGGCTTCAGCTGTGAGGACACTTCACTGGCACAGTGTTTCACGGAGATGGGAGAGGCGTGGATACAAGGGAAGGGAACCGTTCTAAATTGAGTCTTTGCTTCGCCAGCGGCAATGCCTTTCTTTTCTTTTTTATTTAAAATTAAGAAAAAAGCTAAAATCAGTATTTTCACAAGCTCTCCAGATAATAAAAGTATGAAAAGCACTAGATGACATTTATTAGAAATTATTTTTAAATGTTTCTTTGCACTCATTATCTAGAACAGTGGTTCTCAACCGTCCTAATGCTGCCACCCTTTAATATAGTTCCTCATGTTGTGGTGACCCCCAACCATCAAGTGACTTCCATTGCTACTTTATAACTGTAATTTTGCTACTGTTATGATTCATAATGTAAACATCTGCTATGCAGGATATCTGATAACTGATCCCTGTGAAAGGGTCATCTGACCCCCAAAGGTTTTGGGACCCACAGGTTGAGAGGTTCTAAAGCAAACATCTCAGCACACCATGAAGTAGTCAGGCTGTGGTGTCTTACCAAGGCTCAAAGAACAAAACACATTTCTATAGATGTAACAGGAAGCCCCTCTAAGAACTCCATCAATCTGGGCCTGCAAAGGATTCTCCTCCTGTGAAAGTTCCCATGAGTTGTAGGATTAAAAATATGAAAGCTGTTACCTCTGGAAAGTCACTAGAATTCCTTGACTAGTTAGTGCTCATGGAACCATGGGAAACAAAACAATTTCACCCATGTAATATACTTTCTTTAATTTAATACAAAGAGAGTAATGCTCCACATATCACAACACACTCTAAAAAGTTTTTTAAACACTATAAGTATTAAGTGAAAATACACTTATTGATGGGTTAACAATGACCATTGTATTACCTACTCCCACCGAGTCATGCTTGATGACATCAGCAGTAACAATGTTTGAATGGCAGGGAGAGAAAATACAAAGGGGAACATGAGAATATGTAAAACTACATTTTATATTGTGTTTCCTTCTCCACAAACTCCCGTGTATACCAAAAGACGAACTCAAAAAGACTGTAAAGGCATTGTGTTAGGGTAACTCTGTCAGTTACCCAGCACTGAAAATCACTCCCATCTGTTCACAAGATTAAAACAACCAATGAGGATGCAAAACATCCAGTGGAAGAAGTTAACATAGACCATTAGCCAGAGGAGGAAAATCCACAAAGATGGTAACAGGAATAAGCAAAGCAGTACCATCAAGACCATACACAATAGCTAAGATAATCTGCTCTGGTCAAACCAATGCTCCTCACTCAGTCAGCAACTCTACACTGTGAGTGACGTAGGTGACAACCCAGAGTCCTGTTCATCAATTCTCACTCGGCAATCGTTCACCAGTCAGCCTGTGAAGTGAAAACACTGGGTCTACACTAACATCACAAGGATGCTTCACAACAATAAAAAAGTCAAATCATTATGGTAGATGGTTTTGTTTGTTTTCTGTAAAGTGCACAATTTAAGAAAACTTCACCAGAGGGAGCACTTTTGAAGGGTATGGTGTAGACAAAACAGGCACCTCCATTGTAATTTATCTTAATAAATAAAAGCCCATTAAGAAACAAGGAAGATAAGCAGCACCTGAAGCCTTGACATCGTAACTAAATGATTGTACCCTATGGCCTAGCCAGTTAAGTGTTACTAAGAGCCGCAAAGGAGGAACTGCTGTTGACTTAACATTTTAGTTTTAGTAGAGACAAGAGCTTGTCTGGCTTGCAGTCCTGTCGAGGATCCTGATCCTTCAAGCATCCTATACTTTGGAGAGCAGACCAGACTCCGGGGCACTCGCCTTAATTAGGTTCTGAATTTCCTTGAATTTCGGATGGTCTTTGTCAGCCACCAGCTGTAGCAGAACAGCTTCACTAGTGGTCACAATGATCCCAGTACGAGCAAGACGCTAGAAAACAGAAACAAAGACAAGAAGTGAGCTGGAAAATGGAGATCATTTAAAAATAGCAGAAGTTGCCAGGACAATAATTAGGGTCCTCCTCTATAATGATGGCTCTTGGCCTCAGCAATAGAGAGAGAAAGGTTTCAAAACCAGAGGTATCACAAACTCTTCACGGGTATTTCTCCGTACTAATAATGGGATGGAAATGAATAAAGGGAGCCAGGGAGCCAGTGTCACGATCTGTAGGTACTAGATTGTCAGGCTAACAATGTAAAGAGAGAGGAAGCTGTGTAAGTCATGTCCGCATGTGTGTAGTCTATCAACTTGACACTCAAGCGGGGGTCTTCAGGAAGAGGAAAACTTAGTTTAGAAAGTGCCTCCATCAGACAGTCTCTAGGCAAGTCTACAGGGAATGATTGATGTTGGAGGGCCACTCCACTGTGGGCGGTGCCACCCTGAGCAGGTGGCCCTAGGTAATGTAAAAAGCAAGCTGAGTAAGCCAGTAAGCAATATTCCTCGGTGGCCTCCGCTCCAGCTTCCGCCTCTGGGTTTGTGCCTCGAGTTCTGCCAGTGATCAGCCTTGACATGGGGGTTAGGATGAAAACAAACCCTTTTCTCCCCAAGCTGCTTTGGTCACGGTGTTTATCACAGCAACAGAAGCCATGTTAGGATACTAGCATCCCACATGTACCCACTTTTCAGGGCTGTAACATTTCACCTCTCATATGTGGATTCCTTTTGGCTTCAAGCTTTGATAAACTCTTGTGTTTTTATTTCTAACACCAAGAACAAAAGAGGGACCTCATCCCCTTTTACCCTGTGTGGTGTAATCAAAACAGGAAATCATGAAGCATCTTAATACTTTCACTTGGCAAGCCGGGCGGCGGTGGCGCACGCCTTTAATCCCAGCACTCGGGAGGCAGAGGCAGGCGGATCTCTGTGAGTTCGAGGCCGGGCTGGACCGATAGCCTCCAAAACAATACAGAGAAACCCTGTCTCGAAAAACCAAAAAAAAAAAAAAAAAAAAAAAAAAACTTTCACCTGGTATAACTGCCACTTGGTACCTAATTATTTAAAAATATGGGTATAATTATAGCTATGCAGAATATTTTATTACTAGTTTGTATGTAACTACACAAAATAGAAATTTAATTGCATTAAGAAAAGAAGGGTTCTTAAATTCTTGTTTTCTGACCCCAGTAAACAGCCCCTAAGGACATCCATCTCATAATCAAGAATTCTCTGGTCTAGGAATGGTTGGCAGAGTGAAGAGCCTCAAGTGAGGTTTGAGAATCTGCCCCAGGGATTAATGGAACCACCACTTGTGCTATTATAAACTTTTTAGGATGATTAAACAAGGTTATAAAATCATACATCACATCCCCACCAGCGTTTCCCCTCCCTCCATTTCTCCCAGCCCCTCTGTCCTTCCCTACTGCTCTACAATAGGACTGTTCCTGGCAGGATGCCTTTTGCAGGCTGCTCCAGCAGAACTACTGGAACTCAAGGAGCAGGGGATGGGGTAGAGGGAGCAAGGTCTGGAGAGTGAGGTGGGGGAGAGAATCCCACAGCTGAGGTCCACTCTCTGTAGCAATAAATCAGTAGTCACAAACTCCAGGGTAAAGGGCAAATGGGTAGATATTCCAAGAAGCATCTGCTATAGGAACCTTAGAAGAGGGCAGAGCTTTTTCTAGTGCTGTGTAGACCAGAGTCTTGTCTGTCTACACTAATAATCTTTGGTGGTGCTGGAAGCTGGGTCCCATTGGGGTGTACAATGCTACTTACTTCAAGACTGAGGGTTTAAAAATAACTAAGCAAAAGACCCACGTGAGAAGGAAGGTGTGGTACAGAAAATGCAAAGCTTTTAGGAGAGGCTCCTAGGTGTGTCCCTAGAGCCCGCCCTCCCCAACTGGGCTGAAGCTGAGCAGACAGCAGCAACAGCTTGTGGTGTCCCGCCCACTCCTGGTCACACTTCCTCTGGGCTCACTTTCTGTCCAGAGTTAAAACGGGGCATGAGGCTTTGGAAGACCCCTCCTTACACTGGTACAGCCAGTCCAACTGGGCCAGTGAAAAAGGAAGCATTTAAGTGTTCACCTAAAACTGTAAGTCAGGAATGGAGTACCCAACCGACTTCATATCCTAGCAACATCAAAAACTACAGGGACATCAAGTTCAAGAGGGGGTTTACTCCATCATTTTGCAATTCGTCTTCTGAGATAGACAAAATCGGGCGGGTGTATGGTGGTACAGCAATCTATTATGCAATTATGAATAATTATTTACTTCAAGGTGACACAGACCAATAGATGTTGAGTACACACAAGGAAACATGAAGGGAATAAGTGCATGCCACGGGCCTCATGCTTACTAACTATACACCTTACAAATGAAATAAAGTTAACAGACAGTATGGATAAGGATTATCTGAAGTAATTCTGCTCTGAAGGAAGAAAGAAGAAAAGGGGCTAGCCATGTTGTTGCTAACTTTCAGTTCACAGAACGAAAAAGCATCTCCCCAAAACTTTAGAGACAAACTGCATGATCTCTATAGAAAGATGCAAGGAAGAGGAGCAGCCTACAAACTGTCAGACGCTGCACACCATGACCTCACCTGACCTCAGCTGTGGACACTGCAATCATGACCTCACCTGACCTCAGCTGTGGACACTGCAATCATGACCTCACCTGACCTCAGCTGCAGGCACTGCAATCATGACCTCACCTGACCTCAGCTGTGGACACTGCAATCATGACCTCACCTGACCTCAGCTGTGGACACTGCAATCATGACCTCACCTGACCTCAGCTGCAGGCACTGCAATCATGACCTCACCTGACCTCAGCTGCAGGCACTGCAATCATGACCTCACCTGACCTCAGCTGCAGGCACTGCAATCATGACCTCACCTGACCTCAGCTGCGGGCACTGCAATCATGACCTCACCTGACCTCAGCTGCGGGCACTGCAATCCTGACCTCACCTGACCTCAGCTGTGGACACTGCAATCCTGACCTCACCTGACCTCAGCTGTGGACACTTCAATCATGACCTCACCTGACCTCAGCTGCAGGCACTGCAACCATGACCTCACCTGACCTCAGCTGTGGACACTGCAATCATGACCTCACCTGACCTCAGCTGCAGGCACTGCAACCATGACCTCAGCTGCGGGCACTGCAATCCTGACCTCACCTGACCTCAGCTGTGGACACTACAATCATGACCTCACCTGAACTCAGCTGTGGACACTGCAATCATGCAATCATGACCTTACCTGACCTCAGCTGTGGACACTGCAATCCTGACCTCAGCTGTAGGCACTGCAATCATGACCTCACCTGACCTCAGCTGCAGGCACTGCAATCATGACCTCAGCTGCGGGCACTGCAATCCTAACCTCACCTGACCTCAGCTGTGGACACTGCAATCATGACCTCACCTGACCTCAGCTGCGGGCACTGCAATCATGACCTCACCTGACCTCAGCTGTAGGCACTGCAATCATGACCTCACCTGACCTCAGCTGCAGGCACTGCAATCATGACCTCAGCTGCGGGCACTGCAATCCTGACCTCACCTGACCTCAGCTGTGGACACTGCAATCATGCAATCATGACCTCACCTGACCTCAGCTGCAGGCACTGCAATCATGACCTCACCTGTCCTCAGCTGCGGGCACTGAACATTATCACATGACCTGCTGTGGTCCCTTTTCCACTTTCAACCTTGCTGCTTTAGTCCAGGCAGGCTCCTCTGTGTTCATTCAAAAGACCAGGCTTTTTCTGTCCCCTTTTAGAACGTCTTGGGGCTCACAGAGTCAACTAAGTGGGGCTCACAGGCACTCACAGTGACTGAAGTGGCAACCACAGATCCCGCACGGGACTGCACTAGGCCCTCTGCATACATGCTGTGCTTGTTTAGCTTGGGGCTTTTGTTGGACTCCTAACAGTGGGAGCAGGGGGTGTTTCTGATTCTTTCTTCTTCCGTTGGGACCCTTTTCTTTCTGCTGGGTTGCCTCACCCAGTCCCAACATGAGTGCTTCACTTGGTATCCCTGGGAGAACTGCTCTTTTCTGAAAGGAAATGGGAAGGGCAATAGGTCTCAGGGAGGGACACAGGGACTCAGTGGAGTGGAGGGAGGGGAAACTCTGGACGGGATGCAATGTACGAGAGAATAAATAAAACAATAAAATTCATATGAATGTAGAAGGAAAGTTCTGGAAATACCTTCACAGCACACAAGGCTCCCTTTTGTTTGCACAGCTTTGGTTCCTTTGAAATAAAGTCCGAGCATGAACATGACAATAAAGTTTGCAGCGAAGGTGCATGAAGACAGCTGCTCGCTGAGAGAGGCTGACCTGACTCGAGCTGTAAGACCTTAGCTTACTGAGGAAGCTAGAAAAGTGGATTGGAATGAACTCACGACTGGCGGGTAGCTCATAGATCTTGGCTCTGATGAGAAGCAGTGCATTTTTAATAAGCCAGAAAATCCAACATTTCCAGTGTGCATGGGGTGCTTTAACAAAATAAACCTCTACGTATGGGACAATGGTGGCACACTCCTCACCCCTAGGCTCTGGGGCTTTTGAGGAAAAAGGGATGGGAAGACTGTAAGAAGGGGAGTGGAGGATGGACAGACAGCATCAGGGAAGCAGGATTGTCTAGACACAACGGGGGGAGCGCACATGTGAACCCAGAGAGACTTCAGTACCGCACACAAGGTGTGTGGAAACCCCAGAGAAACAAAGCCGCAGCCCAGAGAGACACATAATCCCGCGAGGGGCTGAGGCGTCACTGGCATGTTACCAGGACAAAGGTGAGCTGCTTTCTTTGAAGGATATGAGGGCTGACAGGCTTTCCAACCACATTGCAGGGCTAGACTCAATCCCAACATCAGCTGAGCAATTCAAACTGGACCTGACCAGAAAGGACTTAAAAAAAAGAAGAAAAGGTAACCTCGAACTCGGATGGGAAGAGATGCAAGGGTGGAGGGGGTGGTAAGTGGGGGGGGAGGGGGTTGTTGGAGAAGGTTGACTATGCTCAAAAGACACTGCATGGACTTCTCAAAGAATATAAGCATAAATCTTCCAATGAATGAACAAACAGCAAACTTCTGTCGGTCGTCACCACAGGGGTTCCACTCTTTAGAAGGGAGGCTGCCCAGTGTTGCTACCTAAGGCCTGTCTGTTCCTCACGGCCTTTCTTTCCTCTTCCAGCCACTCCTTTCACACATCTGATGGCACTGTAGGCTACAGAGCTGACGCAGCCCCAACAGAGAACAATGCACAAGCCAGTTTGTACTGGATGATCTCACAACAAGCCCTCCAGCATTTCTTTAAATTGCTTTTCTATTTAATTTATTATTAATGTGTGTGTGTGTGTGTGTGTGTGTGTGTGTGTGTCTGAGTGTGTCTGTGTGTGTACACGCCCACACATGTGTTAGGTGTGTGTAGAGGTCAGATGATAACGTTCAGGAGTCCCTTCTTCCCTTTCACTGTGAAATTCAGAAACTGAACTCAGGCATCAGGCGCGTGCGTGCACATACACTTCTGGAGGAAAAACCTCCCCAGGACTATGTGCTAGCCTCAACAGGCTCGGCATAGAAGGGGCTCAGCTCGGATGATTATTAGGCAACACTGAGAAAGAATGGCTGACCCAGCGTCAGCCTGGAAGCAGTACGTAGGTTATGTCTACAGTCACTTACACGAGGCTGACTCAGGCTCTGATACATTCTGCCAGACTTAGGGGCTACATGTTGCTTGAGTGAACCCGCATGAACTGTTTCTACTTGGCCATTCTGTAAACTTCAGTCCTGGCTACTTGAGACACGTCTAGTCCATGCTGAATGTTAGGGCAAAGTGACCGCAAAACTATCAAGGCACTTCTGGCGTGTCTAGAAATCTAATCCCAGGGAAAAGTATGAAGTAGGCAAAGTGGGTACCTGACAGGTCAGTTAGCGAGTGCAGAGCTGTTTCTCTGGGAAGTAATAGTCCTGATACGTGGAGACCAAGCATCAGCTTAAAGGGCAAATTATTAGGGACTGGTAAACATTCAAGATACCTAATTTGTCAGAAAACTTGATGTAGAACAAGTACCTCAAGAGCAAACATCCTGTCCATCATGCTCCTTGAGGAGGTGGCATCAGCAACAATGTGAACCTCAATGCCTCGGCCGACCAGCTCCAGGGCTGTTTGCTGGATACATACGTGTGTCTGTAGGGAAGCAAAGCAGCACATGTAAGAACGTGGGAAGGTGAAGCAGGTGGTTCTCGGGACAGCTGAAGACCATTGGCCTAGATTCAGACGCTGCCTCCTCACTGGCTGGCTGACCTCAGACAAGGCACTGACGCTGCTAATAGTTTCTCATCTGTGATCCTGGGAGACACAGGGCACACAGTTCACAGGGCTGTTGTGAGGGTTCAAGCTGGCAACAGCCCGTGCCATAAGGGTGGAAGACATGTAACAAGGGGTGGCCATGTTCCCTCAGTGCCACTCAGCCACTAGCATCCTATAAACAAGACCACACATGTCCCGAAGCCAAGAGGGTACATACCTCTACTCCAAACAGTACAACACTCCGGACACCAGGAATCTCGGCTAAGGCCGCTTCAACTTCAGGTAACACCATAGAAAACTTGGTCTTCGGAAGAACCAGCTTCACACCTGTTAAGTCGAGTTCTTGCACTGTGCTGCCAAGACCTTTGGGGTACTGTTCTGTTATGATAACCGGAATTCCTAATATCCGAGCCCCTTGCAACTGAAAGAAAGGTACCAAACGAAAGTGTAAAAAGTGTGTTGAGTAGCCACACCCATGCATATTGTGCCTCAACCAACTGGACCAGACAGACAGACAGACACCCAAACATACCAGTCTCTGTCCCACACTAATAATGTCTCCAAAGTACTTGATGGCTGGCCGGAACCTTTCCTGCATGTCACAGCAGAAAAACACAGTGCTTGGAGGTGTGAGATTTCCCAGGGTCGTAAGCTGAGGAAAAGAGGAGACAGGAATGATCTGGCATTTGTATTACAAATGACATTTAACTCCAGTAGACATCAATGCAAGAAGAAAAATGTTCCTATTGTCTGTCTCAGTAAGCAAACTTAATACAACTAATACTACAAGAAACGATGCAACCACAAAAAAAATAATAGAAAAAGAAAGGATCTGAATTACCCACATCCCCTCCCCCCAAAAGGGTATTACCCACAAAGACATTCTCCAAACTGCATTTGGTAGGGAGGGGAGAAATAAAGCAAAGACTAACCATATCTAAATGTTCAAATGAATTTTAATATATACAGAGAAAAAACATTTAGTCAATTAAAAACGTGCACATTTCAAAGAATTTCTTGTATCTAAGGAGAAATAGGTACCATATAATGCTAATGTTTACATGAGCATACTTGAATAGCATTTCAGTGATATAAAAATATAAAAAAGAAAGTATCAAAAAATTAGCAGTTATATATAATTTGAATATTTTTTCTTACACTATTTTTGAGTGTATTTAAAAGCATTTGCTGAATGTTATTGTGCATATGTTATCTTCAAATCAGAAAAACATATTTACAATAGTAAAATACAAATCTCATAGTGGTATTACAGGCATGGAAATTAAATTCTAAACCACTGCATGTAAAGAAAGCAACAACTTAAAAATTAATCTGTAGCAGAGACTATGAGACATAAAACTAAAGACATAAACAGAAAACAAAATTAATTCATAGCATATACAAAAATCACTGCTCTCAAGATAAAAATACAAAGATACCACTTGCAAGGGTGACTTCTAGAGGGCAGTAAATGACACATGAAAACTGCCCTGGGCTGGAAAAGGAACATTATGAGTGGAAAACTAATTAATTAGGAGGAAAACCGGGAATCAAATTTCCAAGCTTCACATCTGCTGCAGGTAGCCCACTCCAACAGCCTGGGCCCCATGAGGAGCCACTAACTGTAAATTTACACTGAATACAGAAACTTAACTTCACCAGGGACTTAAAGGCCCAAGGTGCTTCAAAAGAGAACTCTGCAAAGAATGTGCTCCCTTTGGAAGAAACAGATGTCTTTCCTCTTCCTAGTTACCCACTAAATTATCCCTCTAATTCTCCTGCTTTTGCACCCTGCTAAAACCACCCACAGATAGCAATTATTAATAATTTCCCAACTGCATGGCTGTAGCCTCGGCAGCAGCTCAGCTCTAGGCTGGGCCTTACCATCCCTGAATGCAACAGACTCAAAAGTTGACGATTCCTCCATGGATTTAAGGAGCCTCTGAAATGAAAGCTTTATGCCCAGTGCTGTGGCTACGCTAACAGCTCTGTGATGGTTTCTGCCTGTGTTCTGGCTGGAGACTCCAGTTCCTTCGGCTCCCACTACAGCTGAGGCCACAGGGTGCACTCACCCTCACTCACCATGGGCAATCCAGCAGCAGACTACTCTAGATGGTGAGAGCCACCTGTCAGCCAAACACTACGGAGAGGCTCCAACTTTACCAATAAAGCACTATTAGTAAAATAAGTGCTCAAGTGCTTTGGCTGTTTCCTCACTCTCTTTTCAAATTACACCTTTTAAACTGTTTTCGTTTCTCTTAACGTTTATTTGGTGTGTGTGTGTGTGTGTGTGTGTGTGTGTGTGTGTGTGTGCAAACTCCAGGATTTACACTGGGAAGTCAGGAGACAACTCCTGAGACTCTTGTTTCCTCCTGCTACATGGCCTCTGGGGTTAGACCTCAGGCCATCAGGCTTGGTGACAAGTGCCTTAATCAGTTGAGCCAGAGTGCCTTCCCAATGCCTGTATTTTAGCCATTTCCAAAGCAGTGGTTGTGACTTACATACAGAAGCCAGGAAGACCGATTTTTGTGTATTTGGAATATTATTTTTAAAAGCAATTACTACAAATGGTGTACGCATTTTAAAATCCCAATAAACATTAAATCGTAGTTCGCTAAGCTCAAAATCTCTGTCTTTTCTTTCTTTCTTTCTTTTTTTTTTTTTTGTTTGTTTTTTGTTTTTGTTTTTCGAGACAGGGTTTCTCTGTGTTGTTTTGAAGGCTGTCCTGGAACTCACAGATATCCACCTGCCTCTGCCTCCCAAGTGCTGGGATTAAAGGCATGCACCACCAACACCCGGCCAAAATCTCTGTTTTGTTTTCAAGAATTTAAACAGGAAGTATCAAAGTATGGCTTTGATTAAGGTATATGCTAAAAAGCAATTTACTTACAAGAGGCTTCTTTGAAATTACAGTCACACAACTCAGCCAAACTTGCTGTCCCATTAGCACAGGAAACCTTGGGCAAGCATGTAAGTATGCTGACAACCAAGCCCTTACACGCTCACTGCTCACACATAGTCACTGTTCACACACACTCACAGTTCACACATGCTCCCGGTCCCAGCTCTCCTGTACCAACTCAGTCCACATACTCTAACACTACGGGTCCCGTAGGAGACTGGTAGTCCACATTCTAAACTGACAGAGAGTTAGAGAGTTACAAACAATTAGAACGCAGACAAATGACCAGTGGCAGGAACTAACAGGGGGATGGAAAAAACGATCCAAAATACAAGAAAAGCAAGCCAAACTCAGCTCCAATGGCATCTGGCGAGGTAGTAACACACTGTTCCAAATTAGGAAAATGTCATGCTAGTATAAAGAATATGTCAAAAAAAAAAAAAAAGAAAAAGAAAAGAGGAATATGTCAAATAATACAAGTTAGCGGAACAAGATAAAATGGTCAAAATATTAAGTTATTTTGTTATTTGTCAAGTTATATTTGAATAAATCCTTCAGAAATCTGAATATATGTTCTCAGGTTGGAAGGAAAACCAGCCGTAAACCCGCCCTCGCTGCACAGAACCCTTTTCAGGAAACAAAGAGGGTGCTACAGTGAACAGTGACACACTTTATTGTAAAGATGGGGTTTCTGATTGCGAGTCACAGACACTTCCCTGTACCCTTGAATGTGGTGCACCTGTCCGCCTGAGGGAGCGTGTGCCAGCAGCAGAGAAACTACTCGGCACAGGAGAAACCTGACAGACCAGTGAGCTAGGTGATTTTCACACATGTACTCAACAGTGTCACACCAGAAAACTGTTCGCGTCCGTGAGGTGAGACTGGCCTTCACGGGCCCTCACAGTCCCACAGTCTCAGTCTACCCCTACACCATACACATGAAGGCTGAGGACACCCCCCCCCAAAAAAAATCTGACTCTTGCTTTTCAATACCCTTGAAAGGCAAGTGGATTTAACTGTATCCTGGATTGCATCATGATCAGGTCACCATGAGATATCAAACAGAAAAGACAAGAAGGAAAAGCCAGTAAAAATCAGTGTGCAGGGACTGGAGAGACGGCTCACTGGTTAAAAGCATGCGTTGTTCTTCCAAAGGACCTAGGCTTAGTTCCCAGCATGCACTGGGTAGCTCACAACTGCCTGTAACTAAAGAAGATTCAGGTGACCTGATGCCCTCTGTGACCTCCACAGGCACCCGCACTCACTGTGATGGCTGTTCTAGGCTGTCAGCCTGTCTGTGTCTGGGGCGCACTACCATCTAGAAGTGGAGGGCGCGCCTGTGATGCAGAGCTTAAGGCAGGGAGACTCAGGCTCTGACCCAGACACACCTTTAATCTGGGCCACGCCTTCCGCTGGAAGCCTATATATATGAGCACAACAGAGAAAGAAAGGCTTCCTCCTTCTTTGCTACATGTCCTTGCCTCGTCTGCATACCTGCTCCTTCACTGGCTCTGGAGCCTACTCCTTAGGGATTCCAGCACATGCCAAGACCAGCTGAGACACGCAGCCCTGTGGGAATGAGAAGCTACTAGATTCCTGGACTTTCCATTCACAGCTAGCTGTTGTTGGACTAGCCTGTAAGTCATTTCAATATTCCTTTTACATAGAGAGATTCATTCCACAAGTTCTGTGACTCTACAGAACCCTGACTAATACACACACACGGATACACATATATACTAAAAAAGATTACATTAAAACAGTTTTTAAAAATCCATTGTGCAGCTTAGTTCACAGTAAGACATCATGCTAGTCCATTGGTTGTGCAAATGAACCACAATAAAGTACAATATTAGCAACGGAGGAATTGGTGGGACAGAGGAAGACAGAAAGTCTATGCTATCTAAGCATAAATCTAAAAGGCAAATCTTATTTAAAATAAAAATAATGGCTTCCCTGGGACATAGTAGTTGCAGATAAGGTGTGACTATAGAAATAACCTCCAGATCTACAAAGGAACAAAAACAAAAACAAAAACCAAGAAATTCTAACCATGTTATTCACCTAATCCTGTCTCCTCCCTATCCTTAAACACAAATACATTTCAACAAGATGCTGTTACAATTCAATTCAATTATAATTCGGGAACTTCTTACCCTGACTCAAAAATTTTAATTAAAACTAAATTGTAGATACCTAAAAGTATTGCCCAAAACACTGCAAGATGACCAATGGTGCCACGATGAAAGCGGATCTGACCAAATAATTTCAGAAGGAAAAATGTGACACCTCAGGTCAGTTCAGGTTCAAAAACCAAATCCCCTGCACATACACATCTAAATATAAAAGTGTGAATATTTTAATCAGTGGTTTCCTCAAACAAAAGTGGAAAAACCTTTGTCCACTTCCTTTAGATCTGCCACAGGGTGACACTGACCTTAGCTTTCATACTGAATAGAATACCCATAGACTTTTCACAGCATAGTTTGATGCTACCCTGGCCACGTGCTCTGATCATTTTACAAAATGGCCACAGGTCACTCAGCAAGGACAATGGCTGGCCTAGTTCAATGATATATACCAGTTCCTGGAATGGAAGTAAGATATGGTGTCCCGTCACACTGTTAAACAGTGTCCTCCAACTCCTGCAAAGTCATACTTGACATTCCTAACTCCTGCACCTTGGAGAATGACCTTCATGGGGCTGGAGTCACTGAAGATTACTTGACTTAAGATAAAGTCACCCACTGACGTAAGGTAGGTAAGTAACTGCCCATGACTGGTGTCCACATACAAAGGAGAAAGATGGATGGACAGACACTCATGGCAAGAACGCCTTGGCCATGAAAGCAGGGACTGGAGTGAAAGAGTCGTGAACAGATTCTTCCTGGAAGCCCTCAGAAGGAGCCATTGCTGGCCACACCCTTGGGCTGTAGACTCTAGAAACGTGAGAATGGCCGGCTGGGGTGTGTAGGCCACTCTGTTAGCAGTGTTTAGGACAGTCCCTGAGCCATAGTGAGGAATCTGTGCATGTTTAGTGATGGGAAAGGTTTTTAAGATGAGTGATTTTTCTTTTAAAACCAGCACCCTATTACAGTCGCAAGACAAACATGATCTACTTGAGTACCAGTCTGAAGAGGAGCCAGGGATCAGCATTCAAGTCCTGTTCCCAATCCAACTGCATAGCTGCTTCGGGGAGGCCCTGACCCAGTGTCAATGCATTTAAAGCAGAGCCTTCAAGGCCCGTGGGCATAAGAATCTGAGTCCACATCTCAGCTGTTCAGTTACATAAATATGAATCATTAGCATCTTCTCGTACAATGTCCTTATCTTTAGCACAGTTAAGAGACACGGTATTTTTCTTCAGCTGTGGTGACAGCCTGCAAAACAAACATTTGAGTCAGCACAGCCTGGGAAGCTCTCTAATGATGCTAAAGATGATTTACCATTAAGAACTCTCTAGAAACATCACTGTACTAATTTAGTGTGCAGAATTAAAAAACTCATTCATAAAGTGCATTTCCAGACACCACCAAAAGGCTCATCTTCATATGATTTATTTTTGGCAAAAACGGATCCTGAGTCTTTTCATTTAGCTGGCAAGGGAATATTTCATTTTTGCTTTTAGAACATATGTACCTACTCTGGGCATTGATGTCCCTGGTATATTACACCGGCAACTTATAATAAAGTCTGAGCTCTCTGACTCCCCGAGGAAGGCCAGCTGTGCCTACCTTCTGAGAGTGGAGACCTGAGGGACCTCTTGAGACTGTGTCTCAGACTGAAAGCAGAGCTGAGCTGAGCTGAGCCAAGAGCACACTGACATTTAAATCTACATTAACATTCCCCTTGACTAACTAGATGCAAAAAGAAAGAAAAAAAATCAAATGCAGGTCACAGCTCCCACTCTCAAATGCAGTTTATTTATAGGAAGCACCTAATTTACTCGCAAGGAACAAAAAGATACGATGTTTGGGCATTACTCAGCAATACTATAAGTTTTTAAGTGGTCATATACCTTGATAGCCATACCCCCTAACCCCCTACCCCTGTCTAGCAAACCAATAGGCTGGAGACAACACCATGAACTCAGGACGCAGGCATCTCTTCTCAGTGTCCCCTAAAGCACACAGCACCCCAGATACACCCTGCCGTCTCCTTACTCCAAGCATTGAGGCTATCCTTGTGTTTTTCCTGCAATGCCCTAACAAGCTAAAGCAAAGGTCCCACCATCCCAATCTCTATCTTCAACCAGCAGGCCATGGTCTCTCCCTCTTCTTTCTATTTCTGCCTTTCCTTCTTTCTGATCACAAAGCTGAAGGTCTCCTCTAGTGAAAAGTCTGTGTCCCACCCATGTAATAACAATCTCACTAGAGCGTAAAAGCTGGACCCAAATTCTCTCTGGGTTAACTACCCCAGGAACGGGTCAAAATAACCTGCCTAGGGCAGCTGGCATCTCCTGCTCTCAAAAGCTGCCAAAGCCCTCCCGCCTGTCTGGCCTGCCTCCATTTCTTCCTGTCTTCTGCTTGGGCTCTTCCTGCCATGGACAAAGCATGAGACTGTGAGACAATTTCTCCCGGCTTTACATGAGTCTCCAGCATTCCACGTCTCTGTCGTGCAGAGCTGGGAACACCTTTCTGAAAAAGTGCAAGTGATGTACATAAGATGGCCCAACTTCTACCCCACGATCCCTTCATTTATACTGTCTCCTGTGTCTCTGAATTTGTCAGGAACGAAACATGAACCATGCCTTCAGCTACCTGACCTGTCAGCAGCCATTCAGTCCCTCTGACAGGACGTTTTTGAAAAGGAGTCCCTAAAAAGTCACCACACTAGCACTGGCTCTATAGAGGTCTTCAAGATCAGTTCCCGAAGAACTGCTGCCAGCCACAGGGGTGATGTGGCACAGACACCTACTAGTCCACAAGGTCACTGCTCTCACACACAAAAGGCTGCACACAGAACTAGTAGTCCCCGAGTCACAGGGAAAGGGGCCTACCACCTCCATCACTCCCCACCTCCCCAGAAGCCACCTTGAGTCTGCCCAAGTGACAGGTGTTCACTGTAAAACCGCAAGGCGCAGCATCAAGAGAAATGAACAGACGCTCAGGTCTGTCTTGCTTTCCAGACTGCTCAACGTGCTCATCAAACATGGAAAGGCAACAGCCATGCTATGGCAGATATCCAGACGTTCCATAAAGAGGTCTTGTTCATGCTTTGCTGGCTTGGCCATTGTAATCATATAATCCAGGGCAGTTTGCTAACGTTCCTACCTCTCCGTGCTCTGCTCCTCAGAGGAAGAAATGTCATTGCTACTCCAACAAGAACTGAATCCATGCAATGCACACAGAGATGCCACTTCATTGTGGAAAGAACCCTTCTGGAAATGCCCATGTAGTAAGGTTATACAGATACGTTCCAGAAAATATAGGAGCAATGAAAAGAAGTATCTTTTCTGAAAATACAACCCCACACACAAATGCATGTGTGTGCATGTCACATACTATGTAAAATATTCTTTCATATTATCTACAACTATGATAGGAGAGGTACATGATTGAAGGAAAGTATAATAATTATTAAAGTGGGAGTATCAAAATATTTGTAAGTATTTCAAAATACACACACATATATGATAAGCTTAAGAATTCTTGGGTTATTTAGTGAAAAATAAGATACTATTTGTTAGTGGTTAAAAAAGAGTACTACTATTGTTATATTGATTGTTTTAAACATCATTACAGAAAAATCAATTATACATAAAAATAATTCAAAAGCCATAGTGCCCTGAAGTATAGTGCCTTTTCAGCATTATGTCTGTCTCTCTGTCTCTGTCTCTCTGTCTCTCTCTCTCTCTCTCTCTCTCTCACACACACACACACACACACACACACACACACACAATTGATTTTCAGACCTTTAAAGATAAGAGTTGAATCAGGTCTTCAAATTTCAAAATATAAAAATTTCTACTCGAAGCACACAGAAAAGTGAAAGCAAACTTAAAAATCGAAAGCCTAGGTTTGTTTGTTTGTTTGTTTTACACAGCAGACACAGGTAGGAACCCCTCTCTCCCAAGAGAAACAGGAAATGGTGGACAAAGAAGTCTGTATCTTCAATACAGCTCCAGACCCACTCGGCATTTTGATTCTGACCTTATAATGGATGGGTCAAAAGTGCACCCAACATATTGGATGTTAGGCAGCGGTAATCTAAACGGACTGTTGGAACCCTGCAGGGAGCCATCATCCAGAACTCCTAAAGAGATAAAAAAAAAAAAAATGGAGCATCTTAACCACTAAAGAACTCAGCTCTCCATCTGGGCAGCAGGGCAGATCACTCCACCCACTCAAGCTCTCTGGCAGTTAGCCATGAACTCTGTCCTCTGAACATATGAACTTTAATCAAGTACTCCCTTTGGATCCACAGATGTGGGGGGAGGGGCGTCACCATCCAGCCTATCTCTGACTGCAGACGATAAACGAAAATTATGGATAAGCCTCTCAAAATGACACTTGAATATGAAAATTCCTTCTAACCCCAAATGTCACATATCAGTTCGTATTCCAGAGAAAAGGCTTAGCAATTCTACACGTAGACAATAAAAACATGGATGGTGTAGTGCCTAAGTTACACCTACCTTTCCTCCCAAATGCATACATTTCGCCAGAGAAGCCTCAGATCTTAGGACAAGAGGTTGTTGCCCTGTATTACAGAACGGCTTTTAGCAATATAGAATTTCACTAATCCTAGTTCTTAGGTATAACTTCCTCAGCCTAGGATTCCCAGGCTAGCGTTACGCTGGTTATTTAAAAGGCTACTGCAGTTCCCTTCCTATGGAGACACCCCGATTGTCACCAAAATGAAAGGAGGAGGGGAGAGGCGGCAAAGTTTGCATTTCTGCAACTGGTTACCACAACTCCCAGAACAAGCCCCGAAGCTAACACCCGCGGCGATCTGCATCCCCCGAGGAAATAAGAGCGGCGGAGGCTGCCGCACAGAGCCGCGGGGCGCGGGGGACCACACACGTGGGGGCGTGAGCGGCCCGCGGGGACCCGGCTCGGCCGGCAGGCGGGGGCGGGACCCACCTGGATCTGCAGCGGCACCAGGCGCAGCTTGCAGCGCTCGCTCACCGCGAAGCCCTTGGGCAGGTCCACGTACTGACCCCACTCCTCGGCGAAGAGCTGCACCACGAATTTGCGGTGCATGTCGAGCTGGTCGCCATAGAGGCTCAGGAACTTCTGGATGAGCACGTCGTAGCCGGCGCCGTGGGGCACCGACGCGGGCCGCGCGAACACCGAGAAGCAGAAGAGCACCGGCACGCCGCCCGACGGCGCCCCCGCGCCCACGCCGCCGCCAGCCAGCGCGGCCACCGAGGGCTCCGCCGCCGCCATGTTCCCCCGCGCGTGCGCGCCGCCTCCGCGCGCCAGCCAGGCCGAGGGGCGGGCCCTGGACGCCGGGGACCCGCCCGCGCCGCCCCCGGAGCTGCTCCAGCAGCCGCCGACTCCGTCACCTGTGGCGCGCAGCGCAGAGCGCGGGGGACAGCAGCTGGGGTGGCCCGGCGCAGCCAGGAGAGCAGTGACAGGCCTCCGCGGAGGGCCAGACCTGCAGGTTACCTCCCTCCGACCTGCAGCCGAGATCGGGTTATCTCGCGCTAGGTTTCTGAGAAGGCTTGAGATGGGAACTGAAGAGCAAAACGGAAGGTTTTCCTGCTTAAGGTGGTGCAAATCATCACCTTCACAATAAAGCGACCCCTATGGGCACTGCAAGACACCGCATTAGCAGGACCCTTGACCTCATGAATAGAAGCATAAATTTAGGATTTGAGATAGTAATCCTTATAAAATAATTGGTTTTCTGTTGTTGTTTTGTTTTGTTTTTTTAGACAAGATTTCTCGGCTACCACTGTTGATTTGGAACTGATCGTTCATTTTGTTCGGGAAACTTAAGGACATTTATAAAAAAAAATACCTAACGTGCATTTATATATACACAAAATGTATGAAGGTGGTTTTAGTTTGTTTTCCTTTTCTTCGTTTGTCTTTCCCTGTAAGGAAATCAATTTTAATATCCATTGTGTGGAGTCTAGCTTTTGGCAGCCTAATGTAGTGACAAATAACATAAATAACACTGTATCTGCTGGGCTCAGTGAGGGGTAGCGGTGACAAGCAGTACCTTTTTCACTATAGTAGAAAAAGAACATGAATACCCATTTCACTGATAAACTATTCTCAATAATCTATCATTTGAGTAGAAATTCAATCAGCTTAAATAAATGGTACTGGGAGGAGCCAGTGAATAGGAACCCCTAAATGGACATTCAAGTGACACATAGCATATAATTAGCCTAACTGACAAAAACCACTATTGTGGAAATGCTCACATTGATCTCAGATAGACTCCTGGGAACACAGTTGATTAAAAGTTAAGCACTTTATCAGAATTCAAATTCTGGGCCACTCAAGAAATAGGATTAGGCAGCATTGATTAATATGTTAATATACTTCCAAAACAACCCCCTCTGTGAATTAATATATTAAATACTTGATTCTTGCTTTTTCTATTGATCAGCAACACTTGACTCCCTGATTACTCTTTTCTTTGGAGCCACAATCTTCCCTCTGTCTCTTAGATACCATACTCTTCATATGTTCCCCTCGGACTTAGTTTTAGGCTCTTTTCCTATGTCCTCTTATTGCTTAAAACACTAACTCAGTGATTCTCAACCTTCCTAATGTTGTGACCCTTAATACAGTTTCTCACGTTGTGGTGACCCCAACCATAAAATTATTTTCATTGTTACTTCATAATTAATTTTGCGGCTGTTATGAATTGTAATTATCTGTTATGTAGGATATCTGATATGTGACCCCAAAGGGGTCGAGACCCACAGGTTGAGAACCACTTCTCTAAACATTTAACTATGCAAAAGGTCACATTTCTTCTTAAGACCCCAGCATTAAATACCATCCATACCCTTTTGACTTTAAACTGATATCATGCATGCCCCCAGCCTCAAATTCTAACTCATGGAACAGTATCTATTGAACGTCTTGGGATAGGAACTGAATAGATATCTCACATTGAACATGACAGGCAGAATTCTTGATTTTACCTCTTCTAAATCATTTGCCTTCCCCCTTTACAGCCAAACAAACAGCCATTCCATTTTATTCACAGAGTATAATTATAGGTTGTCGTTTAACGTTGTCCTGTTTTTCTCCCCTTCTCTAACCTTATCAGTGAGACCTGAGCTCCAAATCCCAAGCCTTTGTATCCATACTGGCACTACTGGTCCAGACCAAACCACCACCATCATCTCTGTTCTAACTCATCATGAGTGGTGACATTAGTTAACTTGTGTAGCCATGTTTATATCAGTTACCAATTTTCATTTGTTAGCAAGCAACATTGATCAAATTCCTCTAGTACACAGATATGGATCTCAAGAAATGTAGATGATGAAATTAAGATAAGAGAACTTTAAGAAGTTACACACAAATTTAGCAAATTAGAGGAAAGGATGTTCGTGAGGAAAGTGATAGGGAATAGCAACAAGGGAGAAACTAGAATGATTTAAAAAAATTAACAAAAACCAATGTCTGGAAATAATGCCCCTGCGTAGTCTGAACAGAAGGTATTTGCAGCAGAAAAAAAACAAACAATCACTGGCATGGTAAAAAGACTAGTAGAAATGACCTAAAGTGAGGAACAGTGGTTTAAAAGCATAAAGGCAGTTTAGGTCACTTATGAGGCAATGTGAAATAATTTACCATTGGAATTCACATGAGAGAAGCAGACAAAATGGCAAACAGTGCTTCCTAGTAAGTGTTCTGCATGCCAGTTTTCATGCAGGGAGGTTTTGGAGTAAGATGAACCACCATCAGGCTGATAATGAACACCATCACCAACAAACAAACACTAAATAAACACAGCACAACCAGCAGTCGCTAGCAGTGTTCAAGCTTTTACCAGTAGAGACCTGGGGTCATATTAGCAGGAGTGAGTGTCGTGGTAGCTGTACCAAGCACTGAAAACTGCATGGCAAGTAATTATAAGAATAAAGAAACTGAGTGACAATTTCAAAGCTTGACTGACACACTAGGAAAAAGATTAAAGAGAAAATTGGTAATTAGAATCAGAGTCTAAGGACCAGAGGCTTTTTTTTTTTTTTGACAGCAATAGGAGTCCAAGTCCTTTCTGTAGAAAGACAAGAAACAGAGAATGAAGACCAGAACTCTGCCACTCAGCTGGTAGCAGAGTTTCAAAGATGAAATTCCTTCTTACTGTAAATGGATTTATTTGGGCCTATCCTGGGGATTGAACCTAAGGTTTCACACTTTAGGTAACAATTCTATAACTGAGCTGCATCCCAGCCCCACCCCTCCCCACCTTTCTTTCCTATTTCTTTATTCTATAAAGTTAATAGACGTGCTAATAGGTTTCACTGGAACATTTTCATCTCTATATCATTACACTTAACCCTTATTCACCCCCCCCCACACACACTGTCTTTTTCCTCCACCCTTGCTAGTCTCCTTTCTTCCTACCAGTCCTGCCCTCTTCATCTGTCTCATTCTTCTTTCTTCTTCCTCTTGTCCTTTAGATTCTGAAATTTAAACCCTCCCATATACTCCCCTTTTTTTATTTTCATTACCCACATATACGCGAATATATTCACACAGAGGTATATATACGTTTAATTCTATATTTCACATATAAGATAAAATATTTAATAATTATCTTTCTGGGCATGTTCATTTCTCTGAACACAGTGATCCAAAGTTTCGTTTGTTTTCGTACAGATGTAAGAATTTCATTTTCTTTACAGCAGAATGCAATCCCATTGTGTTTGGTATATAGTGTGGTGGGTGTGTACATGTATGTGTGCATACACTCACACCGTGTTCTATGTATGCTTGTAAGATACTAACTCATCTTTTAATACAAAAATCTAGGTTGGTTCCATAGCTTGGTTATTATAAATATGGTATCAATAGACATGAGTGTACAAATACCTCTGTGGAATGCTGATTTTAATCTCTTCAGTATTAAACCAAGAGTGGTGTTTCTAGATCATTAAATCTATGGCAAGCCTAAAGCATGAATCACAATCCAGAACTACTAGTTGTAAAACCAGGCTATGCCATCAACCTTCAGAGGATATTTCTATTGTGTTGATAGGCCATCAAATTACCAAAATATTGGTACCATCTATCCTGAGATGATTTCATCAGATGCACCAAGAAGATATGAGGTTGAACAGGCCAGAAGAAACCATAAAAAAAACAGAAGTGGTTTACTTGGCATCAAGCACAGGAGAAACAATAGACTACATATGCAGCCTATGAGAAGGTAACCTAGACATTCATGCCAACCACTACCATCCCACAAGTACTCACCCTAAGGTCTCAAACAGATGCATTATTACCTGTTGATGGGAAAAATGTGGTTTACAAATATATTGGCTCAGTATATTTATGTAAGTCTTGAAGAAGGGCGTGAGAGTCATTACTTCCAGGAAACAAGACTTCGGGTAGTGACCTGGTCATATAGTTCATGGAGAAAGAAGTTTCCTGAACTCAGAATGCAAGATACATACAGCCACTGATAAATGGCTTGGCCAACTAGTCGGACACAAGAGCAGATTAAGAACCAAGAAGACCTGCAATAGAGGCATGGGAATTCATCCATGGGAATGAACACAACACACAGCAATTTGTTCTGTATTTTATGGTGACAATCCCCAAAAAGAAACTATTAGAGCAAGCATACCATATCCAGAGAAAATGTATATTACTAACTCCTGTAATTCAATAGTAGAGATAAACTATACCATTGAAACTAGATAAAAGATTCAGACACTTGACAGAGGAAAGACGGATGTCCAAAAAGCACACACAAAAAAGTGCCTAACACCACTAGATGTCTGGAAGGTGCAAATTAAATGTGCAAAATGTTTTACTTCACATTATTAAACACAGAAGACAAAACAATATGTGCAGAGTCCTGCTCCATTTGGATCCTAGAATCTTGGCTAGAGGCAGAGAGGGAATGAAGACAGGGCAGACACACTGATACATGCGCAGTGAAGCTAGGATAAGATCGGTTTCTTTAACCTAGCACTGCAACCCAGAAACCAGCGTGCTTGTGCTTACTGAGTACAGCACATGGGGAGAGGTTAGCTAGTCTCCATAGGAGATCTGCAGGTGAGTAATCTCAGTGCTATTTTGTCCCAGCAACAGAAAAGTAACTAATACACTGTGCATAAAGATACAAGCAGGTTACTGAGCTTAAAGTCAGAAAATGCAGGAGTTCATTGACTTAATGTCTTTCTGTGACACACCACTCTATACTAACTTGAAATGTCCGCTGTCCTCCTGTTTGAATGTGGTGTCGTCATCCATCA